CGCTTTAGTGTGAAGGATATATTGAACCTATTGAGATGAACTAGTGGTCATTTCTTAGTATGTGAGCTTTGACTGAGGTGACAATGGGTCTCTTGGAGCGTACTAAGAGGAGGCGGAGTAATCATTAAAACCCTCAGTTGAGCGAGTTTCGCACCTTATCCTGCAACCTCAACATAGTTAGCCACCGACGAACCTAAGTTTATGGTGAGGGAAGCACCCCGAGTACCTCTTCTCTTTTATCGGCCTCTAGTTTAGTAATCGCCAACTGGCCACATGCTAAGTAACGGGTTGGCTTGATAACAATCGAGCCTAAGTAGTCTAGGATACCGTGACCTTTGAAATACGACCTCGGTCACCACTGTACTATTTCGACAATCTAAAGTGCACTTGTCCTCGATTGGAGTAGCTAGTATTGCTGGCGGTCGAGTTTATAAATGTAAAACTCGATGTGCGACGCATCAACAGGTTAAGTAATAAGTACTCACTTCATGATATAAAAAAAACATTTTTGGTATTTTATGCCTCAACAATTCATTTGTTCCAAATACACATCAACATCTCGGAGTGAGAGTAGGTACAAAAGTCAAAACTATGATCTCCTCTGAGTTGCAACAAACAAAAAACAGAAATAAAATGGCAATCCCAGCATGCATGGAGCGCATGAAGGAAATAAGGGTCTTCGAAACTTTATGTATCTAGTTGATCTCAACAGACCTAAACTTCTCCTAATCCCAAGATCAAGAACTATGTCGTTGTTCAAGTGAATCAATCGAGTATCCTTGGTAGGAAAACACTCCTCTGAACATCTCTAGTGTTTTACACCAAGTAAACGAAATTCACTCAACACTTGAGCAAAAGTTCTTACTCTGAAATCCAAAGAAAGAAAGGAAGTCCAGATGAAGAAATCTAGAAGGGTCTGTTTTTTCAGTTATATACTTTGACCACTTTGATTATAATCTTCTAATGTATAATTAACATGGATAAAACATACTGATCATAGTTATCTATTTAACTTACTAATTTTTTGTTAGGAAGATTTAACTTATTCATTGTAAACAAGAATATTCTTTGATTCATATATACCATCCGGAACTCTTTCAGAGACGGCACTTGGGTAGAATTAGGTGACTGGGTTTTCTACTTTGGGTCTCCTAGCTATTTGGGTGTTATTTTTTTCTTTCATTCTGAGCTAGAAGATTCGGATGGTTTGACCCAAGAAACTGACAGCTCCAAGTTCCAACAAATTAGAAAATAAAACCAGAAACCGCAAAACAAAAAGTGGATTATCGTACAAACGATGAAAATGAGGAGGGGAGGAAGAGGTAAAGAGAAAGGCAAAATGGAAAGAAACGTGTTATAATTTATTAGTTCCAAATTCGTTGTGGCTTCCAAGGAAGTCCAAAGCGGCCATTCACCTAAACTACCGACCAACACTTTGCTTCTTTCGCACTCAATTAATACCTTAAAATTTTTCACTTCAATTCATGGCAATCCTTCGTAGTAGACTAAGCACTTGAAAAAAGAAAAAAAAATTGGATAGCAATTAGCTGTATTTAGAAATGGTTTGCTTACCGGATTTGATAAATGATCGAGAGATTTATGATGTATTCGATCTATTATAGATTTCAAAAGTTTGTTGTTCATTTGTTGGATTTGTTGGTTGATTTATCATTTTAAAGAGTAATTTGCCTTACTATCCTTACTTTATTTGTTTTATATATGGTGGTGGCAAGACAACTTGGATTGTTTCATGTACTAAAATAAAATTGATGTGTGGTTCAAAATTAATTTGGTCATCTTATCATTTATAATCCACTCAATTTATGGTGTATGGGAACCCCTTTAGAAATCACCCAACCATAAGAAAACATAATATTGCAATTTCAAACACCTAAATTATCGAAATGAATAGCCAACATAAACTCATCATTCTCCCTGCTCGAAATTATTATCAGCATAAAACCTCGATCATTCCTTTTCTATGAACCCTCGGATATTACATTGACACTCATCAAGCAAACACAAAATAACTAGAGATTTAGGACAAATCCTTGATAATAGCATTTGGGTCACAAATCAAGGGCTCAAATCCAACACACAAACGAGCTATTAATTTGTCTGAGCTATTAATATGTGCAACACAATTTCAGGAATGGATTAATTTGCCAATAGACATATATAGTGACCCTGGCCCCCGTCTCCTAAGTGAGGAATCTGAATGCGGGTGACCCATCATCATTCACTTGCATATGGGACGACGCAACATTGAGATGATCTCACTCGGCATGAGGGATGATCCTCAAAGACTAAGGAGCATCTATTGTCTTGGCTAGAGGGGTGCATTTTGAGTCTATTGACAATCCAACCTTAGTAGAGCTTCTAGTCCTCTCGGAGGCCATCCAGTGGTGTCTGGATCCTGGGCTCACGAAGATTCAGTTTGAATGGGATGCGAAGGTGGTAATTGACAAGATAAACATGGCGGATAAGCAGGACAACTATGTTGGGGCCATTCTCGAGGAAGTATCACATAGGGTAGCCCATTTAGGTAGAAAAGTCCTTTCTTTGTTACCGACCTCATGTCAATCCTTTAATTTTCGATCTTGACTTCATACTAGGTGTAATGTGTTTGATCTCTTTCTAATTATTCTAATATCTGCATTCAACCTCTATTCATCGTCTATATCATCATTTAAACTGTATCCTCCTCAAGTATAATGAAATAGATCTTTCTTGTCCACGGAAGTAGATAACACACATTGTATTAATGAACTACAACCAATATTCTTGAAAATTTAATATATCTGTATGTGCGGGTAGGGAAAGAGAGTAGCAAGGACTGAACTATTGACGACTTGGTTGTGTAAGATTGCGCAACCACGATAGCAAAATGACAACTTAGTATTTCTAAAGTAAGTTAGTAGTTGAAGGTAGGGAAGGATGAAGATTATAAGAGGGTGGATTCCAATACCCACCTTGAATTTATAAGTACCCCTAAAAATTATGTGTAAATATAAGTTATGCATAATATTCAAATCTTGTATCCTGCAATAATTGAATCACACTAACCAGTAAACTATAAACATTGTGAGATGCATTTGTTTTTTATTTATTTCAACTGTTACATAGAAGAATTGCAGTAAATAGACCCTCCAATTGTTAATATTATAGTTTCTCAATTCCTATTTACTTTCAACTTTATCTATTTAATCAAAAGCAGGTGTCAAGTTCTCACTTAACGGACAATGGTTATGTCAAACAACCTTCAAAGACTTTTGTTAGTGTATCAACTTGTAAAATTTGTGATGTTGCTTGTCTATGCAAGTGTCGAAAGTGTATTTGTCGTAATGTACTACATGAAGAACACACATTAAAGTTAAAATGATTGATGAATTCAGGATGATATTTTGGTATGATATATTGAAAAGTGACATACTTAGGAACTAGCAAGTTTGGATCATGAATGTGATTTTTGTTGGTTTTTTTTTTTTAATTCCCACCTTGAATAAGTTCTAAGTACGCCACTAGTACAAATTTCAGAGTGTAATCTAACTAACTAATTGTTCAGGCAAGTGGTGCATAATATGTCACACAATTCGTTTTATGATCCACCTGATTATAGAAATCACCCTTCACTTTTGGAAGAAAGTGGGAATCCCTCTCAGTTGCGCAGTCACAGTTTCCCATTCAGCATTCCATCAAAATCCCAAAGAGGACAGAAAAAAGGGGCACTGTAATGCCTTCCTTATTGCTCAATCCACACTCCCTCTCCTCTTAATTCGATGTTGCCATTCTCTCTCGTAATGACACTTTAACAAACTACAAAAGTGATTAATTAGAACAAGTCCCTCCCTTACTTTTTCCCCTTTAATTGTTGGGGAAAAGCTCATGATATGTATGTACATATGTTTTGCAACTTGCAACTTTAATTTCCTTTTCAATCTTATTATTAGACAGGGGGTGAAGATATACTGTACTCCATCAACTCATCATAAACTACCACTAAAGAAAATCTGACAAGCAGTGTATATAAAACATACATGTGTAAATTAAACAAGTTGTTAGATATATTGAAATCAAAGAAAAATCTAAGGTTAGTAATTCTAATAATACAATTCACAACCAAAACAACTATTCGATCGCGCTACAAGTTATGCTTTCGGTAAAGCAATCGTGATGTCTTTCATCTTTTGAAAAAAATATGTAAAATAATACATGTATTGTTCCAAATATGGGGGGGGGGGAGTATCATCAATGTATGTATGATCGCTTACGGTGATGGTCGTTGAGGCCGAAAAATCTTACCCAATCGTTTAATTTTGTAGTACACTATATATCCTACTCAATCCTTACATTGTGTGGTACTCAGAGGCGGAGCTAGCCCATCTTAGGGTGCCATGAGACACGTCTAGTATTTTGAAGAATAATTATTCATTCCGGATAGATGTATATGAGATCCGAACAAAATCCGTTGCTAGAAAAGTCTTATACAATCAAAAATGATTATTGGTTATTAGTCTATCTTCTTTTTTGTGATATTTGTTAACCCAAATACAACCAACCAAAGCCCAACTTTTTGTGTACATAAAATCACAACCACAACCAAAAGGAGTCAAACCCATCTCATTCATCCAACCATATAAAATGCCAAAAAGCCAAAGTGTCACCTTAACCCCAAAACCATCCCCCTCTCCAGTCTCCTCCTCCCTCCACATACTTTCATTTCCTACATTCCTTATACTAACCCCATAGGATTAATGTACAAGATAAGGAAAACAATAATAAAAATAATAAATCAAATAAAAATCCAAGTTGATAAAATAAAATAAAAATTGAAAGCAAGCAAGAAAATGAAACCTCAACTCCCTATCTTCTCCCTCAATTCCCTTCCTTCCTAAACCTCTGTTTTCCCCTCCACCTCTGTTTTCCTTTCCCCCACTCTTTTTGCTTGAATAAACGCACAATTTTCAGCGGCAAAAAAAGCCACAACCACTAAAACCGGTATGAGTTCTTCTTCTTCCCAAAACCCGCCATGGCCGCCGTACCAAACTTACAGAGACTGTTCGCAAGGCATCTGCAGCATCTACTGCCCGCAATGGTGCTACATCATGTTCCCGCCTCCCCCTCCTCCTCGCCGCCGCTTCCCCTCCGCCGCCGTCGGCGGCGACGGCGGCAGCGCCACCGACTTCTCCCCCCTCATCATCGCCGTGATCGGGATCCTCGCCAGCGCCTTCATCCTAATCACCTACTACACCATCATCACCAAGTACTGCCGGCGGCGCGGCGGCAGCGGCGGCGTCGGGAACCCACTTGACGGCGACCCGAATCACAACAGCGGCGACACGAATTGGATGCCGCCGTCGGGCCCCGCGGGGCTGGACGAGTCGGCGATTAAGTCGATTGCGGTGCTGAATTACCGGCGTGGGGAAGGGTTGGTGGAAGGCTCCGATTGCTCTGTTTGCCTGAGCGAGTTTCAGGAGGAAGAGAAGCTGAGATTGCTGCCCAAATGTCACCACGCGTTCCACGTGCCCTGTATTGACGCCTGGCTCAAGTCCCACGCCACTTGCCCTCTCTGCCGCGCCAATATCCACGCCGCCGCCGCCGTTTCCGTTGCCGTTGTGGGGTTTGTCCCGCCGCCGCCGCCGGAGGCGGTGGTGGCGGAGGAAATTCGTGAATCGGTGGCGGTACCGGCGCAGGAGATTGAGAGTGGGGACGTGATCAGCGAGATTGCGGTGGTGGCGGAAGATTTGGAGGCCGGCGGGGAGGAGAGTGGCGGGAAAATTGAGATCGAGTGCGGGCAATCTGAGAGTGAGCAGCTGGGGATTTCGCAAATGAGGAGGTCGAGTTCGTTGAACTTTGCGGCGGCGGCGGCGAATGTTGGTAGCAGTAGCATTGTTGGGGCGATGAAGAGATCGGTTTCCACGGGGAGATTTCTGTTGATGCCCAGTGGAGATGGTAATTCCTCCAATTCTGTCGGTAGAATTCCAATTTGATGACTAGTCCACGGCCGCCACCATTCATTGTTATTAATTCGCACTCGTCAACAACATCAGCACGTATTGATATCGTTGAATCGTTTTACGAGTATTTTCCGTTTGTGGATTCAGCCATTGTAATGGAGAACACACCGAAGACGATCTTCTAGCTAGCGGCATGCATTTACTAAAACATATTACAATAGAGAACATTGGGGCTTTTTTTTTTTCTCTGTGGTTCTGGAATTCATTATTTTTCAGGGTAGATTTGTGAATTTGCATGAGGTAGGAGAATTATGATTAGGATTTGGGAGAACTTTTCTCTTTTTTTCTGCTGTGTTTGTATATATGTGTCATTGTACATCATTATACTGCTTTCTTCTACTGTTTTTTTTTTTCGTTTCATTTTTTCTATGTAATTGTGATACATACAAGTATAGACAGAGATTAATCAACTGAAAATAAGAAATTTGTTATAGTTCTTCATACTGTTTGTAATAAGAAATTTGTATATCAACGTTTTTTTATTATTCCATTTTGTGACTTGATGTGCACATCTAGTATATTTTCGTGTTTATATTGTTTTCTAGATGGGATACCTATGGCAAAAAAAAAAATTGTTATAGTAGTTCATATTGCCTCTAATTTGAGCGGGGATAAATTCTTCTAGAAGGAACCAGCGATCAGAGCAAAGACATTTCGAGTGAGTTTTGTAATTTGATGATTATTATTACGTTTACTTTCTCATGGACATAGTTTATCTTCATACCACGAAAATTTGTTGCTTCATCTCTTCGTTTTAGATTATTTAACTTTTCATGGTCTTAAGATAATAGGATATTATGTTCTGTAAAACTATTATATACGATTGTATAGGAGAACTACTCAGTTTATCAAACTAAAGAAAATGAAATGAATAGATTTAGAAAGAGTCGTACTATCACTTCAACATAATTATATACTTAGTTTCTCAAATTGATAAAAATATATTGAAATGTATAAAACAATTTCTTTCTAATTCCATTTCGTTCATAATTAATAAGATTTAGCTATTACACATCAACATAATCTCATTTGAATCAAATACTGATTTGATCAATTTTTATCAAGGTTGAAGTAAACAATCATCGGACAATCCTACTATCAAATTCGATCATGTCGAGATACATACACATAGATTTTCTTGGTTCACAAGTAACCAGAAAAACTCCCAACTATATGGTGGGAAGTCGGAAGAACATGTAACTAAGATAGGCACAACAACAATATTATTATTATCCATAATAATTAAGCAAGCAAGTAAGCAAGCCGTCCTACCAACTCTTTTGAAAATATGTAATTGAGTTTGTGCACTAGACTGGGTTTACCCTGATTTAAAATAATTCAGTTAGATAAAACCACCAACGAAAATAATTGCATTCTACATACCTTTTATTTTATATATATTTTTTTTCAATTGTAAGAGGGTGACAGATGTTAAATTGTGTAATGTCCCAGGAAAACGAGTTCTGATAAAACAAAAACCCAAAATTAAATAAGGCATGTTAGGTGATAAACGGTTGAAGGATGGGAATGGGTTTGAGTTGACATGGACAAATCACCTACAACCAACCGGTTGATTCAGCTTCAATTAAATTCTCATTTGTATCTCGTTTGTGTTTCTGGACCTCTTATTTAATTAAGTATTTCTGCAAGGCCACTTCTCATCGTATTATAAGTAGGGTATAAGACTTGAATGACAGATGCAGTTTGCAAATGTTCAACCCAATATATATACCAAAATAATCATCCTAATTTTAGAGGTTCACCCTAATTTGCAAATGTTGTACAAAAGAATATGGCAATTACTTACTCGTCATTCATAAAAAAAAATGGCAATTTAAGAGGTTCATCATAATTTAAGTTACTATAATCACCCTAATTTAATTTAAATGTGAAATTCTTTAATTGTCATTCATAAAAAAAATATGGCATTGATTTCGTTACAAAAACTGCAAAATTAGAGATGGCAACGGGTCGGGTCGGGAGCGGATAGTGCATGTCCGTTACTCTACCGAAAGTAGTTCGGCTTTTATCCATACTCATATACACATAATAATCGGGTAGCAAAACAAATCCATACTCATACTCATTCGAGTTTCGGGTATTCACGGTTATCCATGGATAATACTTGCTATTTATAACTCCAACCAACATGTTAACATTCACACATATACTCACATTACATAAGTGGAAAAATACGACAATAAATCACTAGAATAAACAAAATTAATTAAAAACAACACGATTTCATGAAAACATTATATTTGTATGCTAAATATCAAATATGTCGAGGAAAAATAATAACCATTTCTAAACAAAATACATATATATGCATGTGTATAATCGGTCGGGTTCAGGTTGGATAGTGCGAAAACCATGCCCATCCATTACCCTCAATTGTCGAATTCAGATTTTACCTATACCCACTAAAAATCTTTCGAGTTTGAATTTTACCCTACCTAATTAGATCGGATTCAAACTGCTATCCAAAATTCCAGATATGTTTGCCATCTCTATACAAAACCCTCCTCCTGCAAACCCAACATTCCTTTGTCCCTCTGCCGCCTTCACTCCTCGTCCCCCTTCCTCTCCACCTGACCTTGTCGACGGTTAGGGAAACCTAAGATCAGTTTAGATCCCACTCCCAAAACTGATAGTATATATATATATATATATATATATATATATATATATGGGCAGTTCTACGGTGCCCAGGGCAAAATCAGGGGTACGGGTAACCGGGGGCAAGGAAAATTACCAAATGCATCACGAAGCGTTTATGGTGACTTCTACGGACTTCAACCTAACTGTACCCGGTTTAATGATAGCGATTAAGAGGTTCAACCCTATGGATACGACCCGCCGCCCTAACCAATTTCCAGTCTCCCTTCTACGATCCCTCATTCGCCTTGGAGGGTCCCCTCTAACTCTAAGTTCGAAGTTCGATCATAAGCTGCCTATCAAAGCTGAAATCTCCAACAAAATCATCGTTTCGAAACCCAAATCCTTTTATTATTTGATCCACATTCGATTTAGCTCCCTATCCAATCTCAAATCCCCAACATCATCATGTTTCATACGCCAAATCTATGTATCCACATTCGAAGAGAAGATCTCCATCCAATATGAAATCCTCACATAATCATCGTTTTGAACCCCAAATCCTTTTATCCACAAATCGACGTTTTGTTCATCGCCATTTTATTTCCGTGCGGAATTTACTCGTCTTTCTCTTTCTAACACGATTACGGCGACCATGTCTATTATTGTGTTCATCAAACTTTTCGTTTGCAAAAGAACCCTTGAAAGAGATTTGCTAACCCTAGGGTTCATGTCGCTAGTGCTTTGTCATCTTGTCTTAGCGTTATTGTCATTTTCTCGAAACTTCTATCACTCGGTGAAATTAAGGTTTCCTGATATGCAGTGTTCGTCTCGCCCAGAGGATTGAGGAAGGAGATGAAGAAGACCTAATTTGATTCGAATCAGATGGAGAGGTCTCCTTAATTTGTGTTTATGTATTAACGCTGCGTTTAGGACTAATTCTAGTTGGACTGGGTCTGATCATTGATTTTTGCAGGCTTTTAAATAACATTCAAACGTGGGCTTGTACATGGACCCATGACACCTAGTTTGTTGATAATAGATACTGAGTTCCGGATTGTCATTAGGTTGGGCCTTTGATAATTGTCTATCTCAGACTCTCAGTGGCGATTCTTTGTTTTACTTATTTTCATCTGCTTCTGCTTCTAAAATCCTGATCATTCATTGAGTTCACGCAATTTAAACATAATTCTGTGTTCCGTCTTTTTTGGAATTTGGTAAATGCTAGCGTGTCTCTTTACACATTTAGCGGTACGAGGTAAACTACAATCCGCCCAATTTAACTCTTCATTAATTGAGATCCCATTCCACTCTCTCACCGATTTCCCCTCTTTATGCAATGCACTCGTACATAACAAACCTCTTGTAGACTAATTAGAGGCTTGTGGTTGGATACTGAGTGAGGATATTTTTTGAATTTATGTTTTGAAACGAAAGTTAGAGTTTCACTTTTGAAGTACCTATGTACTTTAGTTGGGCAAGTATTTTCAAAATGTAAAATTTTATCAGCGTATAGGTATACGATTGTTGTATAAGGTGTTGATGTTAAAGGAAATGGGTACTGACTGCTTAGGGTATTAGGTTGTTGATGGTATAGAGTATATGGTATATGGGTAGGTTATAAGGTGTTGATGGTTTAGAGCATATGGGATCGATTGGTTAAAGGGTGAGGGTAGGTGTTGTCTTATTTTATCTCGATTATATATTTTCTTTATATTTGCTTATAAATGCTGATCATGCCTTATTACTAAGACATAATTCGTTATATCTGCTTATAAATGCTTTATATCTGCTTATAAATGCTGATAATTTATTGTTTGATTTGAACCTGCGTGTTTTTGCTCCGAATGATTTTGTATAAGGTGTTGATGGTTTAGAGTACATGGTATTGGGTTAGTGTATTGATCATCTCCATCCCTAAAATAAGATATTGTATAAGGTTTTGATGGTTTAGAGTATATGGTATTGGGTTAGTGTATTGATCATCTTCATCCCTAAAATTGAACAACAATTTCTAAACGAGGTCCCTACCGCCACATCATCAATTTTAGCAATTCATCACTTAACAATTTCTATTCATCTACATCCCTACATTATGCTAGTAATTGCCAAGGTGGGTTCCATTTTATATTTCAAAGGAAACACTTATTATAAATTGAAAGTTGGGGATGGAGATAGAAGAAGGTGTTGTTGGTATACAGTATAAGGTCTTGAAGGTTATGGACGTATAAGGGAGGAGCAAGGTGTTGATGGTTTAAAGTATATATGTTATTGATTGATTACGGTATAAGCCTATAAGGTGTTGTTATTGTTGTAGAGTATATGATATTGATTGGTTCGTGTATTAGGGTTTGGTTTAGGGTTTAGGGTTTAGG